AAAAAATAGATTCTAGTCCTCTGAATGACAACGCATCCGAATCCGTGGGTTTTACAGGATATTATAATATAGGTAGTGCTGTTTATAGGCGACAGTTACCATCATTCCAATTACATACAAATAAAATTCTATTTTAATGCCATTCATATATACTTTTGAAATCATTGAAGAATATTTTATACTGATTTTCTGTTTTATTTTGTTATTACAAGAAAATAACGTAAAAATACCTCGTCCGCAGTATGAGTCTATTACAAAGAGGTACGTAAATGCTGGCTAGCTTTACCATTTAAATTAAAACAAATTAGCACGGCCACAAATGTTAAAGTTGAACAAAAGATAATGAAAGTCCCGTGTCAACTAATGCTTTTGCTGTCAACTGCTAAATAAAACTGAATATACAATGTGGTACTGCTTGCATTACGAATTTTGGTTGTTTACCAGTGAAATTAATGATTTTATTTTATAATTAAGTACAGGTGTGTATAAGTTGAACAGGAATTATGATTTTAGCAGTACGATCATAGGAACACAGATATGCGTGGTAATTACTATGTGTAAAGAGTGTATAATTGTATTGTACGTAGTAATATCACAAAACCATTGTTACTTTTACTACTCGTAATTACTAGGGATGCGCTTCAATTTTATCTTTGTTCTCATAACTTTGCATATTTATATAATATTATATATGTATATATAACCTATGCTACTCTGGAATGAAAGAATGAAAGAGAAAAAATTGTAAATATAGATACATATATCTATAATAAGAGTACATACTACAAAAAATTTTGAGATCTAAATATAAAAAGTATTCGATTTAGGAAAAAAAAATTCAATAAGTGTTTATTAATTTTAGATAGTGGTTGTAACTATTAATTTAGTTATTGTTTATTAAATATTGGTAAAGTTCGTGAAAATTAAAATGGCAATTCTGCCTAACGGTTGTTTTTATAGCATTTTCATTGAAAAGTTTTGTGAAGTGTTTGCGTTCAGAAAAGAAACAAATTATTTTACCACCAGGTAAATTTAAAATTACACCAAACTTTTCTTGTTTCGTTTTATTTATTCGTACCTGTTAAAGTTGGTAACCTAGTTAAACAGCGTCTAGGTCCTTCATTTCCAACAACAACTTGTATGTACCTAGTTACAAAATATTTAGTGTTTCCAAAGTCGTTAAATAACACAGCCTACTATATATTATATCATAACTTCTTAACTTAATAAAAAAAAATATATTTTATTTAGCTGAAATACTTACATTCAGAAATAGAGCATACATAAATTAGTTTTTTTGTTATTATATACTTCATATTCTTGATATGTATATACGGGTTATGTACTTTTCTAAATTCGCGTCTGATCATTGTTTATATGTATAATTATTATAAATCACGGGATCTTACCACATTTTATTTTTGAGTTCCAGATATTTCTGTAGTGTTCCAACCGCCATGATGTAAGTAGCGGGTGTTGGGAAATAAAATATTATTATTTTATTATTATTCATCTCGGCACACTATACTCACAGTATCTTTACGTACATTTATACATTCTCTGATCGCGTCTTATGTTTTTGTTTGAATAAACCAGTTACTGGATTCTAGGGACTATAGAGCCTATAACCGTCTTCCCGATTAAAGTTTTTATATTTCTGTACTTAAATAATAAATATATAAATATCGGGAACTCAATATTATAACTACGACAAGTAGTAAGATCCCGTGATATTTACTAATTATATATATACGGGTTGTTGATGGATGTTGGATGTTGCAGCTTAGTTAAAAATTTAACGCCTGTGGTTAGAAATTTCACTTTAATAATTTATATTAGTTACATACTTACAAAGTTCATATGTAAAACACTATCACTATGCTGTATAATGTAATACACTATAGTGTTAATGTTAAACATAGAGACTTTGTACATAGTTGTCCGCATGAGCGCTTTTGTCTCATTTATTAATTTTGTTACCTAGCATCCCGCTTGGATGCTGAACACCGCTTTGAGGCAATGAAATTATCAGGTAGGTACATACCGGGTATTAAGTTGTCTCGAGAAATTTCATTCAATTAATTATAATTAAATAAATTCTGGTGATATTAAAATAATTTATTGAAAACATAATGGGAAATTATAACAATATCAACTTATTTTCTTATGATAACAAAATTCTGATATTTTTTAGAATGAATATGGGGGGTTATTTAAAGTAAGCATATAATTAAATTATAATTAGTTATAGAATTTTTAACGAAAATCAGTTGGATAATTTTATTTTGGGTAAAAATATTTCTATTTGGATTCTTAGTCCAAACGAACCATATAATACATTCATTAACCAAAGGTTTAATTAATTTGATAATTAATAATTGATTTCCTATAATGTTAACTAGATATATATTTAAAATATTGTCACAACAACATGTTATGGATATGAAATATAATCGTTTTGGGGTAGTGACTAATGTTAAACTGTCTACATACGGCCTTAAATCCGTTGCAATATCGCAGCTTTGGTGGTAGAGATTAAATCAGTAGGTGGGCATACTGTTGTAAAATTGACCTCGATTTCGTTTCTAGACATTAATTACACCGTCACTTTTACCTACAAACGATGCAATCTAAAAAGCTTTCATGAGCCATACTTACTATTGCTCCGATGTCAGAGATGTTTGTAGACCTTTTTACTGTGATAAAGTACTTACCTGCCTACAAATATAATTAGACGTTAATTTGATTTCACCGTATGAAACGTTTATTGATAATAATATAATTGAGTTTATCTCCAATTCTAGAGCAGGCTGCGGCCTAATAGCCAATAAAGATACCATTGTTCCTCATCATGTAATATAGGTAAGCGAAAATATCTACTTACCTAGTCTTGTTCACGCTAAAACAATTTATGTACGGGCGTGTGCCATTTATTTTAGATTTGTCTCTGTATTTCTTACTGATAAATGTTTTATCATTCGTCTTCGTAACTGTGACAAATAATAATATTATTGTTAAGTATTATGTATAAAAACAACATTATTATGTATATATTCAGTGATTGAATTTTGTGAGGCTGTATCCGTGTGAATTTGCTTGCTTTGCTATATAGTACACTTTCGGATCTTACTAACTAACATGCATGCAACAAAATGTTGCAGCACTCCCTAGGGGTATGCAAATATTGAAATGAAATCATAATTAATTCAATGTAAATCAATATGAAGTATTAAAACCGCAATATAATTCAATATGTAGCCATTGCAATTCTGAATGACTCGAAAATGTTCTTTAAGAATAGCTGCAATAACAGATTTATAAAAATCACCTGAGCCGGAAATCGAACCAACGGAAAATACAGTAATATAAACAATTGTTATTGTTATTTTGCTGGAGATACAAATCCGTAGAGTAAATGAATATAATGATTTTTCTTAAATATCAAATGTGCCTCACATATATGGAGACGGCACTCTTTAATATTATTAGCATAATAAATATATACATATGTATATACAATATTCACAGCATATTTTTATTACCTTTCAATTCATTTCATTCGTACTACGTAGACACAATGTATTTTTTATTACTAGTAACACCACATACCCGTGGGTAGATTAATTTATTGAACAAATTGCCTTGGATGGCTATTGTCTTACCCTATTTACAAAATAAGAACTCCGGAACGTGAACATTGTGTTCCAGTAGATGGAACACGATACATCGTCCACTGACCGCGACCTCACCATGTGCTGACCCCAACATAATACCTATGTGTTTTTCATTACAACCTTAGTATTTTACCCATCTTTATACGTTTTCTGTGCTCTTTAGCAAAATAATATAGAAACCAAAGTACATTGTCAGTAAATATACGTATATTATAAAATAAGAGGGAAAATTATTATCTCTTTGGTACATTTATTGTGTTTATACTTGATATTATAAAACTATTATTATGTAGGTTTACGCAATTTTTCCATACTTCACACATACGCAGTAAACATAATATTTCAATTACCAATAGCTTAACATTCACCTGTATATTTTTCATGGTTTTATATTTTATTATTACCTTATTAATTTGCATTTTTTAGTGTTGGCAAATAAATAGAATCACATTAAATTTATCTACAATGTCTAAATTTGCACGGCCGTAATCTCTATCAATAACAAAAAAGTCATATAAAACAAAAATAAATTAAAATAACACCCACAATTCGACAAAATACTGAATAAACGAATTCTGTTGTCAAAAGGAGGTCATGTCGTTTTTCTATAGGCAGGCAAAGGTTTCAATACACTTGACAACTAGCTGACACATATTAAACAAGGTTTAGACACGTGGCAAGAATGTGGGATGCTGTATGCACTATCTATCTACACAATATGGAAGTTTGTAATCTTTGCTGATGTATTTACATCACAATCAACGACAGCGCAATAAATTTATAGGCATCTGCCTACTCAAAATAAATCAATGAATAAACCTGTTAAAGGATACCTAACAACAATTTGCAATCTATCAAAACTAATTTGTAGTAGATACGAACTATTGTTCAGTTTGTTTGAAGTACTTACGATTTAAATCATGGAAGTAGACCGTATTGTTAGAATTGGGATCTCTATAATAGAGATTTTCGGGTTGTCATCGCTGTGTGAATACTTGTAACTTGAAAATGCGTGTGATAATTATGGAAAAGGCTCCCTCGGGAGGATTCCCGATTTTCCGATCCACTTCAGTTTGGCGCGAGACACCGACTGAACCGAACGCGTACTATTATCTTGCCAGACAGATAACGTACTTATTGACATCGAGATATTATCAAAAACTTTCAAAATAATCACATTAAAAAATAATAATATCGAACAATATGTTTATTTGTTGGATCTGTTCTTTAAAGATAGTCAAAAAAGTTAATTAACTAATATATTCCTAGGGAAAGATTAATCCAATTACATGTATCTAATTTAATTATTCCATCCTACACATATAATTAAGATTAACAATGATTTTCTTCGTATTAAGTGCTGTGTTTATCGCAAGTAAGTATTTTTACATTTTTATTACATGTAATTTTTAATAGTCTAGTATTAAAAAAAATATCAGAGTTGTATTGGTACCTAAATTTTTTATGAACTTTTATGGCTATTTTTATGTACGTCACCACTACGGACTAGTGATTCTGCTGATTTATTGCCACTGCAGAGATATGTAGACAGTCCGTCCATTGCAATTCGTCTTTATGACAAATGGGTATACCTACAGTTTTAAGTAAAATTCTAAAAGAGACAAATCAAATATCATATATTTGATTTGTTCGACAATGATAAAAATAATATTATAAGTACTCTGATTTTGTAATGTAAGTTTTGTATAGGGATGAAATCGGTATAGATTTATTACTAATAACTATTTTTTTTTAAATAATAAGGAAGAAATCCTTCATTGTGATAAGTCCGAATTGTCCGAATCCGGAAATATCTGTCATAAGAACTTTGAACTTTAACCATATTTTTTACTATGTAATAAAATTTCACAATCACTCAAGCAGGCTAAAGATTAATACTTTCGATAGCACAATATCTAAAATTATATAATAAATAGCATTAATATTAAAAAACTCTAAACACACAACAAATATTGGTACCTAATTTATAGAATATTTGGTACATCTGTAGTTGGGTTTGTCAATCTGATATTTACTGTAACATATGATCTCAATCTGGTATATAGCCTACCAAACTTGTGCTAAATCCGGTCGTATAATTTATGTTTTTGAAAGGTGTTCGGAGTGTATAAGTAATATTCTAAAAAATCACCGTTGTTTAAAATTGTACATAGAATACATACTAAACGAGATATTTACTATGATAATATTATTTACAAGATCAAGATATTTAAACGCTGTTACATATGTCCTGAGCTGAAATTCGTGCACCGTGACCCGGACATTCGTAGTAATACCTTATTGCGTAATATGTACAAGTAATATTTTTATCACATTTACTGTAAAAGGACAATAATAATGTTTGGAGTCAAAGTCAATGTAGCAATCATAATAATAATACATTTTTATTGCAGACATCTTGATATTTTAACAATATTAGTACCTACATATTAGCCTGACATACATAAAAAATATACATAAAATTTATTTCGGTGTCACGACAAGTCGGTAGTTTACCATGAGAGTGTCCCAACTTGGGTCAGTAGTCATACTTCTTTCCTTTTTTCATTCCAAAATTCCAAAGCCTTAAAACTTGCTGTGTGACTCAACTCTAGCCGCATCACACTCAATGGCAATTTGTTTTAGGTTCAGATGTAGTCAACAATGTACAATCCCTTGAATGCGTAGTGTAGTTGAAACAGGTGCTACACTGCCGTAGTCGCTGTTGTGGCATGTAGCAAGAAGTTGGGCCCAGTTGGTGCATCTCTTTGTGTGCCTCTTCTTTTATACCACGTTAAAGTCATCATCGTCGCGGTTATCAGTATCTGTGGTACACGTCACTATACTTCAGGATTTTTGTTTACTAGCAGCGACGTCGACTAAAATTCGATATTTCGATTGCACCGAAGATTTTATTCGTGTTGATTGTTGTTTTTAAACGTGATATCTTCTCACAAACATCAACTACCTGCGTTTTATTGGCAGTCATCATGCTATTGACGCAAAGAGTAAATTCCGTTATCACTTTAATCATTGAGGTTGATTGTTTGATTTGAATCTTATATGCCTTCATTATGACGACCCAAGTCTGAGTCAATTTACCTTTATCTATACTATGTAGATAATATAAGGAAGGATCAAAATTGTGCATTGAGGCATATTGACTTTATTGGCAAATATTTACTTTATCTGAGAGATAATAGGGTTCGACGGAAACCCTAAGCAAATATTTGTAGTGGATAGCAAGAGACATTTACCACATTATTCATAAAAAACCTATATTTTTATGAAATATGCTTTCAAGTGACTTCAAAAAGAATATATTTATAGCCCATAGTGATTAAAATGTTGACGTTCGTAAGAGACTATATTGTCCTGTATTAACAAATATTTTTGACTTTGACTTGCCTGTGAAGCCAATGTTAACATTGTCAGGGATGTTTATAGGTGAAAGAATTTCGGTAACATAGGTATCGTTTACATACATATTTAAAAGGTACGTAATCTATAATAAAATTTTACAATTTAATAACTAAAATATGTATGGTATTCAAAAGCGTTTCTTTTTTTAATTATTAATGTTATTTAAAGTTAAGTTTGAAGATTATTTCTATTTCGGTTTCAAAAATAAAATCTTTACTGTTAATCATATTTATTATTTGGTATACTATAGTCATACACACGACTTCGCGACTCTCCAGTTTTTAAGCTGTTTTTTATTAAAGTAAATTAGATATTAAAATTGATCAATTGAAAAATTAAAGTTTGTTTTGGAAACATCAAGTGGTAAGTAAAGTGGCAACATTAGATTACAAAAACAGTAGTAGGCCTAACCTAAACTGCTAAAATAGAAGTATTTATTGTTGGTATTGTGAGTGAAGGGATTACACTAATGAACTAGGTATTATCCCGAAATTACTATGTGGACCATCAGCACATTTTCAAATCATAAAAAAGTAAAGATAATATTCCGATAGTTTCAATACGCATTAGAGTAGGGGTAATTTATAATAAATAAGGATAGATACTAAACTACCCTTGATTCCTTTAACACAATAATATAACATATGTATGATTCATGACTCTAGTCTTACAAATTATACATAAGAATTGCATTTGCATCAAATCTCATGAAAAAAAAGGTTTTTTTTAAATGCAATTTCTTCTATCTGGCCAGATATAAATTTAAGAACAGGGTTTCAGTAAAATGTGTGTTAAAAAACCATAGATAATTAATTTTTGCAGAAAATAGCTCTAATATACCTACTATTCTGTTATAATATATAGTCAGTTTTTTTCTCCAGGAATACAAGTAACTGTTTGTTATATTTAAAAGTAGCTATATTTCGCAGTACTGACTGCTGCTGCTGACTGAAATCAAGAAACAATAAAAACAATTAAATAATTAGTATTATATATCTACCAAGTTTTATTAGAACTTGCACAATAATATTTGTGTAACAAAACATTCATTCACTTCCAAAAACTGTCGCTTTTATATAAATTATTATAATAATTCTCCCAATCTAAGCAGAGCCTGTGTTATGGGTAATACAAAATACACATACTTAAATACATTTCTCGTTTGGAAATTATATTCTATATAGTATACATGATATACATGAAAATACACAGACCAATACAAACAATCATACTTTTGTATTGGGATGTATGTTTGTTAAATAGAAGCATGGCGGTGTGCAAAATCGCTAGATCATCGAAGCCGTTAATATTATGATTATGATTATCCAACTTTAATATATGTAAATAAATAAACTCTTGCTAAATGTGTATGTTTTCTTTCCAGTATCTGTTACTTTATAGTCACTTTCTTAGTTACTGTTACTTCGTTATTTATGATTTAATTTTGTACCGAAACGAAAAATAATATGATTAATTCATGCTTTTTCAAGCTCGTAAGTTTATAGTCAATTGATTGATGTGTGTCCAAGATACCCTCGGTCGTATTTCAGTCTCTCTACTTTCTTACAGATCTGCTTACACATTCTATTGTCATTAATCCTCCCGGAATAGGTACACTTACACGAAACTATATATTTTTGCAGTGATATATTTGTTATAAAAGTTAATGTAAGTTCATGAAATTTTATTTTATTTCAATCTTTGTTACAAAAAAATCTGTTGTTATTACTATACTAGTTTTTTGCTGAAGTCATTCCCTCGAAATATGAATTGAGTGAACTAATTGATATACGTTAAGTTTTAAAATTATTTAAAAAAGCAAAGAAATTAATAAACATAAGGAATAAATGAGAAAAACTTCAAATAAGCTAAGTAAACATAAAAACATTTTACAGTTTCAGATAATCGGGTTCAAGCTCCAAACATGCATTATATATTTCTGAAATTATCCTACTCACAACATGAAGCCGGATGTGGTAATGTAAAACCGCATATACTACACGCTACTATATAAATAAGTGAATATAATCGTCTCCTCACCGCCGCATTTCACCAACGATTCATTTTTTAATCCTCCGCGGAAAATCATACATTTTTTATTAATGAAAGGCAGTCTTCAATCCTCGTAAGCCATCTGTCGGATTAATAGCGGATTAAATAGACAACTAAATATACAATTTAGTCATAACGCATACTGTGAATGTAGGTCAAATGGTCAGTGTCAGAACTGTCGGTGCTAAAATATGAATACTATCATTTCACGACAACCAATAGGGACTAAACTGTAAATTACCTATGTGAAACATTAATCCATAACACACCTGAAAAATTCTATACAGACACAAGTAGGCACAATAAAAATAAAATAATTGTTCTATATATTGGATAGACAGAATATACTTTTATATGCATTATACAGAAAAGAAATTAAAGTGATCAAATTATTGAAATCTTTTCTTAATTAAATTTATTTAAAAGAGACATTTGATATAAATTATCAAGGTGAGTTATGGTACTAAAATAAAAGGTATAGAGGCATAATATCTTAGTCTTTCAGAATGGAATCGAATGAGACGAGCATCACATCATTATATTATATCCATCGTGATCTTCATATATAGGAGATAGTTATTGGCAGATGGGTCACCATTTTATTCACATTTCAATTGCAAAAAAATATGCGTAATATCCACATGGATGTTTAAGTAACTCTAATAAATACTTCGAATGATTTCAATACATTTCCACGTATCAAATTTATCTATCATTTGGCACTGAATATTATTCCATTGTAACGTAAACCGAGATATTATCGCTAAATTACCTTTTGATTTCTATGTGTTACATTTGCGGTAATATTTTCAACGTTACTCTTGTAATCCTCGGGGTAAGATTTCTTTGTTGTTATAACACGATTTTTCAATTTATATGCGAACACCCTCATGATGACGC